ATGTAAACAGTCAGTGTAAATGGAGTTGATTTGTTTTTCATTGCAAGTAAGGGTTAGTGATTAACAAAAAAATACTAGTTTATTGCTTGTTACAAAAACTATTGTCAGAGATTTGAGAAACGACAGCTACATTACAGATATACTTCTTTTTATGCAGTGCACCATACGGTTGGCTTTCTGGGCTGCAAGAACACACTGCCGGCTCATGTTGAGCTCCTCATCGACCAGCACCCCCAAGTCCTTCTCCACAGGGCTGCTCTGAATCTCTTCTCTGCCCAACCTGTAGCTGTGCCTGGGATTGCTCCAACCCAGGTGTAGGACCTTGCACTTGGCATGGTTAAACTTCATGAGGTTGGCATCAGCCCACCTCACAAGCGTGTCAAGGTCCCTCTGGATGGCATTCCTTCCCTCCAGGGTGTCAACCGAACCACACAGCTTGGTGTCATCGGCAAACTTGCTGAGACTGTCCCTGCCCATGGCAGGGGGTTGGAACTAGGTGAGCTTTAAGGTCCCTTCTGACCAAAACCATTCTATGATTCTTCCCTTGAACACCAACACTATATATGCACCATAGAAGGCCACCAAATTTTTCAGGCACAATTTGCCCTTAGTGAAGCCATGTTGGTTGTCATCAATCACCTCCTTATTTTCCATGTGCCTTAGCATAGCTTCCAGAAGGATCTGCTCCACGATCTTGCTGGGCATAGAGGTGAGACTGACTGGCCTCTTGTTCCTCCATTTTTCCTTTTTGTTCTTTTTAAATATGGGGCTAATGTTTACTTTTTCCAGTCAGTGGGAACTTCACCAGGCTGCAAAGACTTCTCAAATATGATGGATAGTTCTTCATCATGAAGAAGGAAGGAGGATGATACACGTTTTATACAGTTTTATTACTACATTTACATTTGTTGCCACAGAGCTCAAGAGGCTTCTGAGCATAAAAATATTCAATGTATATGAATCAACAACAATGATAATTTAGAAACCTTCACAGTGTAGTCCTTATGTCCTAATATTGCCCATGGCACCATTCAGAGCTTGCACGGGGGAGATCCCAGGTAGGTTAGCTTTTCTTGGAGCTTAATGAAAAGCTCTCCATGCAAAGCTGAATTACAGCTTTTTTCATTTAACCTGAAACCAAAAGATAGAATCTCACCCAGTTTTAAAGGCAGCTGGCTGATAACAGAGTGGGTTCTGCCCTGACCCGAACAGGACCCAATGGCCCCTCTAACTGTGCAGGCCAACAGTGCTGTCTCTCATTAAGCCTTGCTAATTACATTAGCTGCCTCTCCACTTCTGCATGGGCACCAGCCAGGAAAGGTATAGTGACAGAAGTGATTCTCAAGAACTCGCTAAGTGAACTGGCACATGTAATACAGCTCAGTCACCCTAAGTGACCCAACAGAACCCTGGTGCAAACTTCTGCCTCCCTCTGACCAGTGCTTGACATTGGGTTGCAGTCCGTCTCTCCCCAAACCTGCAGCAAATGAGGCTAATGGCAGGAGACAGAAAAAGAGCTCCATGTCACAGGCATCATGATAACACAGGTGCTGGGAACTTGTTACAGGATGTGCCACTGACTCAGGCAGAGATGACCTCCCTAATAACGGGGTGACAGGAGTTGACCAGGCTGAGAACTGTGATCTGGGCTCAGGCCACAGCAGAGACAGACATCTGCTTGATCAGCAATAGATGTTCATAACTTTTCAGGTCAACATGCCCGAGCCACACACATCCCACCTGCACCGGACTGTGGGCTCATCCAGCAGCTTCCCCTCCTCACAAGATGCCCGGGACCACAGTTTCTCCTGGGATTCTGCACAAGGAACCTGTCAGCACATGGATCCACTAACAGACACTCCTTGTGCTGCTATCCCGAGCTGGCCAGGCACAAGCCACGTCCACAACAGCCATATCACCTCATTAGCGTGCTGGTGCAGTGCCCGGGTGAGTAATGTCTGCTGGAGCTAATGAGTGCTGCACCCACAGCCACAGACACACCTGCACAGGGTTCAGGGTGCCTTTGGGTGACAGGGCAGAGTGGTGAGGAATGAGTGTCTGTGTCAAAGGGCCTGGATCCCAAAGTTATGTGGTAGATGTGTCTCCCATTTCCCAAACCTGGGAAAGCAGAGCATGCAGAGACAGACACCCCCTTACAATGACCCTGGCAAAGGTCCACCAGAACTGACCAGGGCTTCATTCAGCCACAGGCACAGGTGCCCCTTGGATCTGGTCATATCACCAGCCACTTCAAAAACTCAGGACCATCGTGGATGGTATGATATTTGTGCAGCTGGATGAAGCCCCAGGTGCTCATTAGCCGCAACAGAAGCTCAGACAAATGTAGACATCCAAATGCGTGTGAATGGCCCCTTGGTCTCTGCGAGCAAGCCTGGTCCTACACCTATGTTCTGTTCAGGATGCCAGTCTTAAGGAAAGGCCTCTCCGAACTGCGTTTCTCTTGTGCAAATACCAGTACCTGGAACCAAAGTGCTTTAGAAATGAGCAGCCCACATCCTCCAGTTGTGTGGCATGGATGAAGGCCCAGAAGTGATGTGCCATGCTCATGGCATGGTGACTGAGGCCTGAGAAAGTTTTGCTTGTCTCAGTGCTGTCCATGAGCTCCACCATGGTCCAGCCTGGCTCCATGACAGATAACAATATGCACCTGTGAGGCAGCAGCAAAGCCAGGAACACCCACCCAGATTCACAGTACCATTGCAGCAGGGCTGACACCAGCCTCTACAGTTTTCTGCTTAAAAGGAAAATAGAAATGGGAGAAGTCAAGACAACATGTCCTTCACCCAGCAGTTAATCATCGCTTTCCAGGAAAGGTATCCAGGACCAGCAAATGGTACCTTATCAAGCAAGTGCGTGAACCATCATCCTGGCAGGGATCCAGCTTCTTATCTTTGCTCTGACTCATCAGCAAAACATGTTCATCCCATGCAAGGTGCTGGTGTTGGCACAGATCTGAGGATCCTTGGACATGGACATGCGACTGTTTGGGTGAAGGTCTGGATCTCCCAGTGCTTTGTTCAGGGGAGGTTAATAGTTAAATCCAATGGGTAGACTGCATGAATTGTCATCAAACCCTGTTTTCTTGCTCCAGTGGTCCTGGTCAGGTTGGCTCTTTGCAGGTCTTGCAGAGAGTAGACAGGCAAATTACAGCCATAGTCTAGCTGAAGCGGCAGCTGTCATGTAGAGGTCCTTGTGCTAGCTCCATAGGCAGTTCTCAGTGCCATAAACTCCTCCCAGGGGTAAAATCCTGCACAAGCCATGCCTAACCTTCTTCTTCAGACTGAGCTAGGGACAAGTGAGCCAGCTGGAGTTTGAACGCACAGGTGATGCTGCAAAGGATGAGAAGTCACAGGGCATGATTTGCTCTTGACATTTCTACAGCACATGGAATCCTGGGAAGTATGCAGGTATGTAGATAAGAGAGCTGCGAGCCATGCTGTGTAAAGGACATAGATTCAGGTAGGAGAAGGAGGTAGGCAGGGAGGGAGATCTGAAAAAAGAAGCCCTAATGGCTGTAGGAAAGTGGATGAGATTTGGGGGCAGGAGGGAGGGAGCTCTAAGCCACCCCTGGAAGGTGAGACATGACTCTCCGAGCCAGCCAACACTGCATCACCACTGCTGGTCATGGCGTCTTCTGCCACTCCCTGCAGCAGGGCTCAGGTAAGGGATTGCTTCACCCAAAGTCAGTCCCCTGTTGCCTCCAGGCCTCAGCCTCAGCTCTGGAAATGGTGCCTTGACCTGGGATCTTTGCAGATGGATTAGCTTTACTCCCAGACTTCCTGAAACTCAGCATCTTCTTTAGCCCTGATCTGCCTTGTGCACCAATCCTCTAATAGTGAAGTTGTACATAGAATCATAGACTCATAGAATTGTTTGGGTTGGAAAGGACCTTAAGATCATTTAGTTCTAACCCCACTACCATGGTCAGGGGTGCCTCACCCTAGGCCACGTCACCCGAGGCTCTGTCCAACCTGGCCTTCAACACTGCCAGGGATGGAGCATTTACCACTTCTCTGGGCAGCCTGTGCCAGTGCCTCACCATCCTCACAGTAAATGGATCAAAATGCATTTATTATTTTCATATGGATGAATCAAAATGTTGTTATTTCATGAACAGAGGTTCTCTTGGTTTCCTGCAGGAGTGTGCTGATTCTGGTGAGAAGGAAAAAGACAGAAACATTTATAACTACATCTGACTGACAATACTGATTTACCAGAAAGGAAGAAAGAGAATAAATATAATTAGAACTGTCAAAGACATTCAGTTGAAAGTTGTCCCTGTCCACAAAATGAGGTGTTTACCAAATGTTTATTGGAAAAGCTTTAATTTTGAGTAACTGAGAAATTTTGAACTAAAAATAGATTTTAATTTCATGTAATCAAAACTTCAAATTTTCTTCTCAAATTCTTCTTTCAAAACTAAAGTTTGCTTCTTCCCCAGGTTATCTAAGTAACTTCCACACAAAAAGGAGAAAGGACTAATGCTTAAGGAGGAGATAGAGGAAAATTTCTCTCCAACCTTTTCAAAATCGAAGGAAAATATGGGAAAAGGAGAAAATAGAACCCTGGGAAGAGGGCTTTGAGGGAACCTTTGAGGGAATTTATTCCTTTAAGCCTTCAACAAAAGCAGGAAAAGAAAGGATGAAGAAAACACAGGTAAGAAATAGTTTGTGTTTTCAATTGCATTAATTCAACTACAATCAAAACAACTTTTTGATTTTTATACCCAGAAGAATTTCACAGCAGAAGATAGTTTTAAGAACTGTCTCATCTTAACATAATGACAAGGACTAGACAGAGAGGTGCTTTCATGTGTCAAGGAAGTTTATAAGCCCATAGTAAGAAGATAATGTGGAAAGCTTTGCTAGAATAATAGCTGTGCCGTTGTATGGGACTGTTTTAAAAATGAGCATAAATTGGTACTATAGATCAATTCCCTGATATTAGCAATGGGTACTAGCCTCAATATATTTCTCTTACTTAAAAATACAACGTCCCTACTTGCTGAAGGAATAACTGACATCAGCTTCCTGCATTTCACATCAGAAGAGGAATGAAACAGTAACGAGAGTTAGGAAAGGAAGCCTGGGACTTTGTGCACCTTCACTCTATGGTGACAGGCCCATACATGAGTGTTTTGCATCTGCAATTGTATGATAAATGTGAAAAAAATAAGTAATGTAAAACCACCCAAAAAAAAGAAGACAGAAAAAAAACCCCAACCATCAGATGCAAGGGTATTACAAATCACAGGAAAGCCAGACTGGCAGGAGGGAAAGTTTGTATATCAATACCATCAGGTATTTATATACATTGGCAAGACCACACTGAACCTCCCAGGAACAGTCACAGCCTCTCCTCATACCAAAGATGCTTCAGTCCCCTGTCATCTTCATGGCCCTTTGCTGGACTCACTCCAGTGTGTCCATGTCTGTCCTGCACTGGGCAGGCTAGCACTGGACCCAGCACTCCAGATGTGCCTCACCAGTGCTGAGAAGGGGAACATCACCTCCCTCAACCTGCTGGTGGTCTTCTGCCTAGTGCAGCATTGCTACCCATATTGCCCACCAGGACCTCTGGGGCTGTTTCAAACAGAGGATCAGCACTGCTGTGGCTCACCTGATGTGCCATGATAGGCACCCCAAGCCCTGCACTGAGCTGGGGGTCAGTAATCCCAAATCACTTGGCAAGTGGCTAGTGGAGGCCAGGGTGAGTCCTCATTCCTGCCCCATGAAGGCACCTTCTCCTTTCCCAACTTGCTCATGAAGGAAGGCACGTTCTCTATTCCTTTCCAAAACATCACGTCTCCCTCTCTTCTCCCAGCTGCTGAGGGGTGGGGAAGGGTGGCCAACCTTTCACAGAAGCTGCAGTCCCCAGTCACAACACCGTCCCTTGTTCTCCTTTGTAGGTCTTCCTCCTACTGCCTCTGCCAGTCCTTCCCTTCTTTGGCCAGAAGCCAGCTTGAATTTCTGCAGTCCTGGCAGGTCACAGACAGCTGTCTGTGCCATCTGGTCAGATGGCCCCAGGTGAACCCCCCCAGAGGCTGGCTTTGGTTTCCTGCCCCCAGGGAATCAACCAAAAGACAGCAAGGCTGGGGACCAGATTCTTCCCTCCATCACCCAGAGCAGGTCTCATGCTTCCCTGTAGAAATTGGACAGGCATTCCAAGTGCATATGAGAATACGTGGGGCTTGTTTTAGGGAGGTGTTTCCCTGTCTCCTCAGAGGAGCCAGCAAAATTCCCCTAGATAGCATGGACACTTCAGTCTCAGCTCAGCATTGTGGCAGGGAGAAATTTAACAGTGCAAACAGAAGGGGTAACTACTGCACTAACTGAAAATGACTTAGGGGAATATAGGTCAACAGAGCATAATCTGTCCTCCAGTTTGGCCAGGATACAAAAGCTCGTGCCTCTGCCACAAACACTGCCACGAGAGGTTCATGGGTTGTGTGTGGTTAGAATAGAGGATTATGTCTCATCCTGACAGGGCAGGAGCCGTGCTTACAGCCAGAGTTAATAGTAGAAGCCAGACGCTCACCCACCTCCCGCACCTTCTCCCCAGAAAACAGGATGCCTTTCTTGTCTGCCACTCGCTGTTCCCGGCACCGGCTGATAAGGCATCTCTTTCTCCCCCAGCTGGTACTAAATAGGCAGCCGTCTTCCAGGAAAGACACAAATCTGCTTTGACAAGCAGTGATATTAACAGGGATTAGGGAATGCAAGAGCCACTGACAGCATTGACCAAAGGATGCAGCCCAGGCTGCCCAGCCCTGGAAGTGTTTTAATCAAGATTAGGCATTGCATGGAAGATGGGGCCGTATTTTTAACCACCATTCAGAGCAGGGGCTTCTGAGCAACTGGCAGCTTGTGACATCTGGGGGCTCACATCAACATCGGTCCTCCCTAATCTCAGATATGGGGTACAGTGTTGGAAAGGGAGCATATTGGCTGGCAAGGCACCTTGCAGAGGCAACACCACAGCTGGCTTGCATTGCTTCCCAAGATTAGGTGGGATCACAGCAGGAGATATTCTCCTACCAGAGGTCCCTTAACACATGGCTGGCCAGCAGAGCTGCACCTTGCCTTCAAACCCCATGGAAACCTCTTTGTCAGAAAAGGTTTTCCACTTTCTCAGAGGAAGTGAGCTTGGTGACTTGCAAAGTGCATCCATCCCCACCTCTTCACCTCCACCCATGTCCTCTTACACCATATCCCCATCGTATCCCCAAGTTTAGGTCTGGACCTGCACAGGCAGTGAAAGCACCTGCAAATAGTAAAATCTCACATCAGTGGAATTTGTGTTTCTCAGTGTTTTACCAAGATTATTTTCAGAGGCATTCAAAATACTTTTTCTTGTATTTGATCGTTTTTACTTTTAAAAGACCATCAGGAAGATTTGTCAGCAATCTGTTTATGGGATGAGACATAATGGATTGCTAACTCTTTAGTAACAGCTGCTGTGTGAGTATCATGATCACACATGGAGCTTGGATATAACATTCGTGACACTTAATGCTGAGGGTTTGATCTCTTGAAGTTATGAATGTGTTAACGCACTCACAAAATCTTATTCAAATAGTTGGAAAAAGCTGAATTTTTAGCTTTGGGGAGGAGTTTAAGAATTTTTCTGACTGCCAAATGATTTGAGAATCATAGAATGGTTTGGATGGGAAGGGATCTTAAAGGCCATCCAGTTCCAACCCCCCTGCCATGAGCAAGGACACCTTCCACTAGACCGGGTTGCTCAAAGCCCTACCCATAATGTGGATAAACTCTTTAAAACAGGCAGCTCAAGTGCCATTTGAGCTGTGACAAACTGTGTCTTGGCACAGGGGGTTAAAGCCCATCTGGGGAGCTGAGGAAACATTCAGGCTGAGTTTTCTTCACCACAGCTGGACTGCTGCTGGTACCACAGCTGAACCGGCTGCAGTGTAAAGTAAGCATACGCTGATAGGTGTACATGTGTGTACACACATTACCATACCTCTGACAGTGATCCTCTGTGCATTTTACAGTGCCACCCATCCATGTGATATGCTAAATGATGAAAACAGTAGCACATGAAGTTATACGCTGAAGCTTGTCTGGATTTGAAGCTGGTTACACCCAGCCTTTGGTTTCCTGCGGTTTCAAATGAAGGTTTTCTTTCTCCTCCTTAGGAGTGCCTCTGTAGTCAAACAGAAAGGAGGAGAGGGAACGGAAACACAAACAAAAAGAGAGGTGATTCAAGGCACCCACCAAACTCGGTCAGCTCTGGTTATTAGGTGCCTGTTAACCTGTATCAGTGATATGTGGACAGCCATTAAGGACATGTGTGAATAATCACAACTGCTGATCCCCTCATGGATTTTAGCAAGAAAAATTGCCTGTGTGAAATTGCCACAGGATGTGCCTTATTCTCTGGTCTGTATTCATTATTTGCTTGTATAAAAATTTCATTTACATAGTCAGAAACAATGCCATGAGATCTAGGCCAGCAACCGCACACCCTAACTAACAAGGAAGAAAAGCCAAAGCAAATATTCCTGGATTCTGCAGTACACAGTACACACTGGGTAATTATCCACCCAAAATACTCAGAGAATAACAAATACAGTATTAAAAAATAATAATGCCAGATTGGTCCATGAGCCTTTCAGCAGCCAAATGTTGAACTAACAGATTAGGATTTTGAATGCATCGCCCTCAGGGGTCTGTTCAGCACCGTGGAGGCTGTGGGTCCTGTCGGAGGGGTGGTGAGTGCCAGAGCAGAACTCCCTTCCCACCAGTGCTTGATAGCCACGCAGCACATTGCAGCACAGCCTGCAGTGGACAGAGCTCCAAAACCCCAGCACTGAGGATGGCAGCTGCCCTTGAAACCCCAAGCTGCCACCCTGCAAAGCAGCGCCTGGGCTTGCACCAGCCACGTAGTGCTGGACCCGCTCCCATATGCGTGTGGACTCACTTCCTTCAGTGCAGTACATTTGGTCCTTCCTTGGCATGCTGATATAAATAAGGTCACTTGCATAAACACACCCTGTTTATCATCCTCGCTGCCACCAGCTCTCACCCTCTCCAAATATGATCACTATGTCCCTGCTCACGTGCCCTGCTCTGACATCCCCCTTCTGGTCTTCCTCCTGGGCTGAGCAATGTTGGCTTTGCATTGCAATCAAAATGAATTCCAATAAGTGGCCTTGCAGCTGGTGAGAAATGAAATGTCATGATGGCTTGAAGGCTTAGCAGAGGGCAAGGGTCAAGTGGATTATCCTCCTCATATAGCTCACAGGTTTTCTATTAGGAAAATCCCCCTCCAGTTATCAGTAAGGCAAGTTCCAGAGATGACAAAGACAGTTTCTGCTCAATCAGTACCTCCCACCTCCTCCCTCTGTCCCTACTTCCTACTGGCTTCCACCAGTGAAAACCTCTGTGTAGCTTACTTCAGAGCAAGCTGCAATTTCTGATACTGGTGTAATTTAAATAGGGAGTGAGATGTGCTCTTATATGGCGCAGGTTATAAATAGTATGACCTGAACAACACTATCACGTAAGCAGACATGGTTGTCTCTGGTTTACCTTTGAGAAAATAGGGGTGCAAAGGCATTTTTCCAAGGTATGCACTTGGGTGAAGGGAAAAGACAGGATCTAGACCCTTTATTCGAGGGGTTTGTGCTTTAAACTAACATATTAGCCTACTAAACAGATAAACTGATCTTAAAAAAAAAACAACAAATAAACAAACAGAAGCCCTAAACAAACCACAATTCAAAACCAACAAAAAACAGCCACCCAAGCCCTAGATCTCATTACTTCAATGCATCTCAGCATTGAGATTTCAGCATCCCAATACAAAATTTTCATTGCCAATTCTCCCATTTTCAAATGGTCTTCCCTGTACTATAATTACTTTATACCATCATTACTACAGAAGAAAATCTATTACCAACAATAAAAGCAAAAAAAAAATGGATATGACTTTGAAAGTAAAGCAAAATGAATTTTCTCTAGCATTTTCCTCCCTAAATTCTGACATTAAATCTCAGATAGCTGCTCTGAAGCCACTACCATTGATGAAAATGGAAGCTGCCAGTGGATAGAAGTGAGTGCCTTTGGTCTTTGAAGCACATAATCTGCCCAATGTAGAGAAGCACATTTAATAAAGCACAGTAATGACTTGTATTTAACACTCCAGGATAGCCCATCAGGCATCCTGTAGCAAAAAGAAAGGAGAATAAAAACTGACATGACAGCAGAAGATAATTTTTTCCTGAAGCAGGTATGAATCTAATACAGCACATCAATGAAGGGCTACTAACTGGCCACATTTGTGCTCATAATATTTGCACTGATATAAATGAAGGAATCTTTCGGCTCAGCTTAGTCTTTTAACAGACCTGGGATGTGCAGTTTTTGTTTACCTACAAACTTTCTGGCAAGGAATATGTTGTGAAGAGTTTCTGTTTGTGTGCATTGCTGTTGTAAGGTTATGCTGGTCTTTGTTTTGCTAGTATACAGAGAAAAACTTTCCTGCAGTCTGGCATGACTCCATTTCTCAGTTTTCCTCCTCTGGTAGCAGTTTTGCACTCAGGCAGTCTAGATTGGATATAAGGAGGAAATTCTTTCCTGTTAGGGTGGTAAGGCACTGGAATAGGTTGCCAGGGAGGTTGTGAATGCTCCATCCCTGGCCAGTGTTCAAGATCAGGTTGGACGAGGCCTTGGGTGATATGGTTTAGTGTGAGGTGTCCCTGCCCATGGCAGGGGGGGTTGAACTTGGTGATCTTAAGGTCCTTTCCAACCCTAATTATTCTATGATTCTGTGGTTCTATGGTTATGCCTGATCTTCTTACCTTGCTTTTGTGCAGGGATGCCCTTGTCCCTAGTCACTGAGAGAAACCCGTGCTTTGAAACAGGAGTATGGACTAGGATTCATCCATCTCCATCAACAAAGACATCTGGAGGAGAAAAAAAGCAGGATTCAGCTACAAAACCTTACCCAGAGCCACCTTCTTGAGCCAGTTTCACAGCAGATGAAACACCTCTGAAATGGGTGCAATTTCACTGTTCAAAATTGGAATAACGTTGCTGGGTACCCACCTCACAGTAACCCAGCTGAGGGCTCTTCTAGCACAAACACCATTGAATGCCCACATAGGGAATGACAGATCACAGTACCACAACTTCCAGTAATAGGAGTAAACAACAAATCAAAGGTGGCCTCTTAATCTGTTTTGATCTGTCTGTTCGCAAGGGGTACTTCATGTGCATGGCTGGAGGGGATTGTCCAGATTTTGTGCTTTTATTGTCCATAAGACTTAGTCTCCAACATGAGTTTAGTCCAACATGCATTTTACCATCTGCTCTATTTCCTATATGTCTATGAGTTCATTGTTCTACACATAAAATTATAAAGCGAAGATTCACATATGCTTACACAGCTTATTTCTATTATTATTTGTTAAACACTGAGAATTTCCTTGGCACAATACAGGGCCCAGAATGAAGACATATCAATCCCTGAAGCTGTGCTTCATGTGAAATACACCCAAAATGGCTATTCTGGCTGAAAAAGCAGTGTTAGGAATTTCAAACCACTTCCCTTCCTTGGAGTTCTGAGCAGATTCATGACATTTCTGGCAATGCAGCTTAAAGAACCATTCACGGAAATTTGTGCTGCAGTCATCACAAAATCCTCCTTTTTTATTTTTTGCCTATGCAAAACCCCCTGATTTTCAATGTAAAATATACATATCAGCAAATTTAAGATTGTCCATAAAGATTTTGGAATGCAATTTCAGAAAAAAACAGTAATGAGAAAATGTCATTATTCTTGTTTTGGTTGATAGTTATAATAATATCAGTTGCTCATGAAGAAGCTCACATCTTAGCAAAATTTTTTAAAACTCATTTTTTTGTTTCTATTTCCTTGTGTTATTCTGCTCAGCCTGTCTCCCACACTACTTACAGCTGCTTTCGGTGGAAGCTGAAGCATAGCATGGCTGAAGCAAATCTTCCTGTCCTCTTCCCCACCTCTTCCTTTCTTGGTTTCCATCCTCTGTCTTTCTGGTTCCTTGTCTCTCTCAGAGACAAGGACGGATGGTGACTGGATGCTGTCCCAGATTTGGATGATGCTGTGTGGCCATGCGCCATGCATACCCTCTCTCACAGTTCCAGTACACGTGCAAAGGAGGATTTGTCTCACCTCCTTTGGCATGTCTAAAATAGAAGTGGTCTGTACCACTTCTATGTGTCTGAAGATCCCCTCGGAATCAGTAGGAAGAAACAGGCATGTCTAAAGGGTAATTACCCTCATCCTAGGTAGGTTAGAGCCCAAAATAGGTCAGATGAATCATGCCTTCAAAGTATCGTACTCCACTGACCACAAAGAGCCAAGATGACTAAATGTTTAATGTTAGTTGAGACGGATCCTGTCCTCAGCATCTTTCCTTTATGTCATTGTCCTGTCTATTCCCCTGTTGCTCACAGTACACATTATCCTCCTGAAACATCTTTAGTCTAGTTTCCCTTCTCATGAGAGTGGCAGTGCTCAAAGAAATGTTATCTTTCCCCCAGCTGCTACTCCAAAGCAATTTCCCAGGCTGGGCTTTCTTCTGAGATATCTCAATGCTGTGGTATTTCATGGAGTGCCTTCCACAAATCATTTGTGAAAGCTGCTAGCTTATATTTCACATCTCTCCTCAAAACTCACCTCTACCAGGATGCATACGCTGTAGCTTGCCTATTGCTAATAGCTAAGTGGGTGGTCTATTGGGACTCATTAAAATTCTTACTCTTGTACATTAACACCCCCCCCACCTGCCCCCCAAAAATAAAGAACTTTTAGGAATGAAACCTGCTATTATCCTATCACCAGTATGCTAGTGTTGGCAGACCCATGGACTAGAGCCCCTCAAGCCTACAGGGTGGGTTTATACAACGTTTTACAATAGCTTTCTGACACTGCGTGAATGGCAGCATAAATTACAGTGCAGAAATAGATCAACAAGCTAAAGTGGCTTTACTTCTTCTTTAAATAGCTCTTACAGCCACCAATGCTTCTCTACAGATTTAAAGGAGTCTTTTCTTCTTACTCCTCCACCTTCCTCATTTTAAGCAGGCTGCAGTGAATGGAATAGCACATTGTGAAACACCATTGTCAGGTTACAGCACTAGAGAAAAGATGAAAATCCAAGTGAAAATCACTCATGTTTCCAGTCTCACACTGTCTTAGACTTCCCTCTAATAGCTGAAAGGGATTAAGGTCTTAAATATCTTGCTGACAAAACCACTGTACAATAGGACCAATTGGTAACATTGGGAGGAGATGTTCAGCTTTGTTTTTCTTCAGGTTTGTAGAGAGTCTGACTAAAATACAACTATTCTCTTAGCCCATCATAAATGCAAAGCCTGATGCAGTTGCAGGAGCCACCAGTACACAGTTGAGACTTGTAAGAGCTGATTTCTGTAATCAGCTCTTCTCATGTGGGCACAGAGGGTGCAAGCAAATACCTACTTTGTTAATCTGAAGTGCAGAGTGCACACACATCTCATAGCAATCCATGGGAGCAGGAAAAGATCTTTGCCTTTGGGAGTCAGCCTGTTAGTAGCATGTGCCTGCAAGAACCTGAGAGCCCACAGAGAAGTTGCTTAGTGCTTTCATCTCCAGAAAAAAAGGCAGAAACAGAAGTTCATTATTATGAATGTCATCCTATTGCTGCAGCCTAAGCATCCCAGATGGCATCAGGATATGGTTGCAAGCAGCTGGTAGAGGTCCCAGATAAGAGTAAGAATGCAGGGACAAGCATGAAGCTGAAATAGTTCTGAAAGTATTAAGAAAAGAGGCAGGACAGCAAAAGCATGAAGACCTGTACTACTGCCTTTGTATTTTCATGATACAGACTACAGGGAGAGCATGCTCAAAGAGAAGAAAGCCAACTCAAGTTTTGTATACAAGTGGAGGAAGCAAGTCATTATAGGAGAGGGATTAAACTGTCTTCCTACTGGTCTTCAAGAGTAAAAAATATCTCTAGAAATCACTCAGAATATCCCTTAACATCAGCATGTTGCTGTGCTCAGTACAACCTGGTGCAAAGTACTAAAGAAAAATCACTGCAGCTGTTTACCAGTTGCATTTCTGCTGCAATTTGGAAAGCCAAAATCAGCTCCATGGGAGGATTAACTAGTACAAGCCAAGGACTAGCATCCATTGCTCTTATTTGTAGCTCACTTTGCATGTTTCCTTGCCATGGGTAGTAAGAATCATCTGATCTCACTTATACGTTTATGGGAAACATAGTCCAGACCAGAGCAAGTTGTTTCCAGGATATTTTTCTAATTGAGAAGGAGAAAGAGGTAGCTCCAGAGGGAAAGCCATCACGTCCTAAGATAAAGTCAGCCAGAGAACCTTGCTCTCCGTGGGTGGTGAGGAGAATCTCAGACTTCACCATCCAATGAGTGGTATAATGAATCCCACTCATAGCACCCAAGCTTTCCACGCCTTCCCAACACCACTGCTGATCCTATTAACTGTAGTTGTTACTGTGTTTTGGAAACTACAACCCAAACAGATGAGATTCCCAACATCAGCATTTTCCTTACATAATCAGCCTCCCATGACTATGCTCAGGTCCATTTTAGGACCAAAACCCTATTTCTGCTTCAGCTTTGGAGCTCTGACACCACTTTGTATGTTTATCCTGGTGCACATCTTGTCCTAGATGAAGAGGGCCATTAAAAAGGCATGGTGTCCATATGAGACGCTACCCTCAGCCTGCCTCTTCCTCTCCAGTCAGACTGTCTGGTGGCTCCTACAGAGGCCATGACCATAAGGATCACTTTAAGGTTCCACCTCACAGAATTGATGTGCGCCTTCAATTCTACCCACAGCTCAGGATGTGGCCTTAAAAAATGTATTGCAATCACACACATCACCTGAGACTTCAAGCTGCTCTTGCTGGAGTCTCATTAAGCTGCAAGGTGGTAACAGTCAGTGATAACAACTGTGAAATCCACAGAGACCTGGTGCGTCTGGAGTCAGTGGGTACTTGTGAAATGTTTTTGCCTGTGGCCTTATGCTACCTGCATGGAAACATTAGATTAAAATATACAGAAGAACAAGAAAGTGTCGTTACCAGGCAGGCACTGAGCAGAGAGTGCCTTTTCCCTGTGATAATTAACTCTGCAGTTTTGAGGTTTGTTAGTCAGTTTGGGGTCATGTTATTTCAATGTCTTTTCCCCAAGAATAAATACAGTATGAAAAGTCTCCTAATGGACCCCTGTAGACAGAATCTAACTCCCGGTCATGGAAGCAGCTGGTAAACACATTCACAAGCTATAATATCCACATGACAAACCTCGTTACACACTCACACCCCATTAGCACAGCAGTCAGCATTCACCCTCTGCTTCCCACAGCACGGGTGAGGGACCCTGGAGAGCCTGCTGGGACTGAGGGGCAACCTGCAAAAAGTGGGACTTCTCAACCCTGTGCAGAGGGTAAATCCAGCACTGGGAATTTAGGATTATGGAATCATAGAATAATTAGGTTGAAAAGGACCCTTAAGATCATTAAATCCAACCATTAACGTAGTATGGCCAAGTCCACCACTAAACCATGTCCTGAAGTGCCACATCTACATTGTCTTTTAAGTACCTCCAGGAATGATGGCACTGTTCAGTGCCTGACAACCCTTTCAGGGAAGAAATTTTTTTCTAATTTCCAATCTAAACCTCCACTGGAACAACTTGAGGCCATTTCCTCCTGTTCTATTGCTTATTACTGGGGACAAAAGGCCAACACCTCCTTTAAAGTAGTCATAGAAAGTGATAAGATCTCCTCTGAGTTTCTAGACTAAACAGCCCCAGTTCCCTCAGCTGTTCCTCATCAGACTTGTTCTCCAGACCCTTCACCAGCTTCATTGCTCTTCTTTGGACACAGTCCAACATCTCTGTGTCTCTCTTGTAAGGAGGGGCCCAGAACTGAACACAGGACTCGAGATGCAGCCTCACCACTGCCAGTACAGGGGGATGATCACTGCCCTGGCCCTGCTGGCCACACTATTGCTGACACAGGACAGGATGCCATTGACTTTCTTGGTCACCTGGGCACAAGCTGGCTCATGTTCAGCTGTCAATCACCACCCCCAGGTCCTTTTCCAGCTGCTCTTTCCCAGCCTGTAGCATTGCATGGGGTTGTTGTGGTCCAAATGCAGGACTCGGCACTTTGCCTTGTTGAACTTCATACCATTAGCCACAGCCCATTGATCCGTCATCCAGATCCCTCTGCAGAGCCTTCCTACCCTCCAGCAGATCAATACTCCCAGCCAACCTGGTGTCATCCGCAGACTTACTGAAGGTGCACTCAATACCTTCATCCAGATCATTGATAAAAATGCTAAACAGAACTGGTCCCAGTACTGAGCCCTGGGGAACACCACTTGAGAATAGCCACCAGTTCAATTCATCATCACTTTCTGCATTTGGTACTTGAAAACTCTATAATTTCATGATGGCTATGCCCAAGACAGCTTCCAGCCACCACATCACCCACAAGTCCCTCTCTGTTCACAAAAACAGGTCCAGCAGGACACCTTCTCTAGTGTAGCTCACTCACCACCTGTCTCAGGAAGTTATCTTCCACACACACCAGGAACCTCCTAAACCATTTCTCCTTTGCTGTGTTGTGTTTCCAGCAGAGAGCTGGTAAGTTGAAGTCTCCCTATGAGAACAAGTGCTAGCAATTGTGAGATTTCTCCCAGCTACTTATAGAATATTTCTTCTGCCTCGTTATCCTGGCTGGGTGGCTTATGACAGACTCCCACCATGATATCTGCCTTGTTGGCTTTTCCCCTGATTCTTACCCATAAACACTCAACGTTGTCATCACCATCATTAAGCTCTAGACAGAGAGAAGAGACAAGGAGAGCCTAGGACTGATGCTGGTATCGTAAACTGCAAGAATAGGTCAAGCTGTCAGCTGTTATTAACCTTAGCAAAACCTGTATCTTCCAGTTCAGCCTCAATCAATTCACATGGTGTTTGTTTGAGAGCCTTCTTATTATACTGTGGAATTACTGGCCCTATCTCCAGCCTGGTGTTTCCTCCTGCACCATTTAAATGTCAGTTATATTTTTGTGGTTGACTGGTTAGTGAAAGGATGGATGACTACGTGTTTGTGCTAACTGATGTACATGAAGATGCCTCATTAAGCAGAAATGGACATGGGATGATATGTTTTTGATGTGGCCTTGGCTTGCTTTTGAAAACATGTTTTCTGCTAGTGAAGAGGTAAGAAACATGAAACACTAAGTTTGATCCTGTTCTCCCCATTTTGAGCCTTTGTTTGAAGTGTCAGAAAAGAAGCACTTGAGAAAACAGAGTTATGGTACATTTCAAAGAGACAAATTCCTTTATTTATGGTGACCAGCATGGTGCAAGCAAATTGTTTCAGCTCATTACTGAATGGCATTGTACTTTTATATGAAATTTATTCCCTTGCTTCATCAAGAATAAGAGGACCCTGGAACACAGATGTGTTTGAGTCTAGTATTAACTAAGATGGTACCAGGGCCAGTCACCAGGGAACAATCACGCCAGACCATGCTAACATTGCAATGCCCTGCTCCTCCTCATCCCAATGCTGCCTAGTGAATCCTCAGTCCTCAGCCAAGACACCAGGCTCTGTCTGTATGAGACCTTGGGGAAGATGGGCACACTAGGTACATTTCTAGGCCTTCCTAGGACTAGGAAGGAGCAGACGTCTTGGACCCCAGCAATACTGCTTAGTTCCCAGCTCTGCTTTTGTCCCTCCAGCCATCTCTCTCCAAGCCAAATCTACTATCCAAGGGAATAGCAGGCTCCAAACCAGCCAATTTCCTGGGAGGTCAGATTCAGTTCCCTGCTCAGAAACATAGACACAGCCATCAAAACCAGCCAAACTGCAGCTGGTGGGACTGAAAGCCCAAGGCAAGACCAAGAAAATATCTCCCTTTGCTTGGACCCTACAACAGAGGTGTGGAGAAAGCCCAAGCTTAAACCCTCCTGCCGTTTGAGTCAGAGCAGAGGCTTGACATGTCTCTGAAGTCTCCATCAGTCATTACACAGCCATGTGCTGTGATGAGGGGGAGTGGCTCCAAATCTCTCTTTGTTGGTGCTGTTTGACTTTGTATACACAATTAAATATTCACTGGACCAGAGAGGAAGATCAAATATTTAGGGAAATGGGAATGAGAAATTGAGCTGGTTTAAGCTGGAGGGGATATGGATCCAGATGTGCACTTTGTCCATATTCCAGGCAAGTTTCTGTCAACAACCTGCCCTTTTTACTGCCATCCACAGAAGGAAAATCTGGGTCTGCAGTTATGCAGCTCATCACAGACTTTGACCAGAATCCTGCTGATAACAAATGATAACATCTAGATCAGCAGCTCAGCATAAACTGAGGTCTGCAACTCCTACTTGAAATCAATCCAAAAGGAGATTTCAACATGGATCAGCCAGTACCAGCAGGATTGCTTGAGGTACCCAGCTGTTCTGGACAGACGGATGTAACAACGCATGCACACACACAGATGTTGAGGACCTGCATTCACTTTCCCTAAAATATAATTAGCAACACAAGTAAGGAGGAATTTCAGAAACAACTGTCTCAACAGTAGGCCAGTGCCAACAGACACTGAGAGGACTCCTTCCTTTTCTCCTGTTGTTGTGGGATGTCTGCCTCAACCCTTCTCTGAAAACTAACCCAAGCAGATGGCTTTTGCAGCTCACACGAGTGACCATATTTCAGTTCTTTGTGGCCAAGAAATGGAGAAACTTCGCAGGGTCTGTCTGGAACCTTCCCACAAAAGGAAAATAAGGTATCTCCAGCACTTCTGAAAAAAATAAAGGAATACCCACTCTCATCCAGGCAAAATACGTGTTGACTTGCATGAGAAGGAATGGGAAAAGCCTTCAGGAAATAGCTAACAGTTTCCAAGTCATTTTCCTTGTTCATTTTCACAGACTCTGGCTTTCTTCAAGGGAAAAGCTCTTCTTTTTAAATGTGGCTGACCCTGGGCTCTGTTCCTCCAAACACTGATTCAGGGAGGTACTTTGTTGTTATTTATTCTCAATTAATGATTGAACTGGCACAGCTCTGAAGAAAGAGTACCCCAAAAGCCCAGTGTCTGCAGGCATTCCTGTTCCCTGCCTATATTGTTCCTGCCCCTGCCTAACAGTGCGTTGCCACAAAATCTCCATTTTGGCTTAGCTGGGGTAAAAGCAGAACCAAAACTCTGCAGGCCATACATCCCTTCTTTCTGTGTGCTCTGAGGCAAAATATATGAGTTTGCTCCTTCATGTATGGCACCGAAATCCAAACAGATTGCAAGGCATTACCTACCTGTATGTATCTGGTAAATATGGCTACCTGTGTTTATCTCTATTTCTGTTTCTGTCTCTATCTCTATCTAGATCTATATATCTAACTATCCATACACACATATGTTTGTGCATACCTATGGGTTTCCAGTACACTGAACATGCCCATGTACGCTGTCTGGCACAGAAGGCATCCTGCACAGAAAAGCCTGTAACATCCCCTTAAATTCCTGCACACTCTTGTCTAGGCGTTCTCTGGGAGGGTGATAATTCATGCAGCCTCCACCACTTCCAACTGCTGGACCAGTCTAACAGTCCTACAGAATAGACAGTCACGCTCCAGCGTCCAAAGTAGACCAAGGCTTTGTTTAATTTCCCAGTCTAGGGACAGCCTGTGAGATCCAAGTCACAACCGACTCCTAACTGAATTGAATGCAAAGTTCAATATAGCTGAGGGAGCCAAGAAAAGAGACTCAAGAGACTGGTGCCATTCGTTAGAGTGAGAAATGGGGGTCCTCAGCTTTTTGAACGCTCAGGCTCAGCACAGGCTGCAGGAGAGTCTTACAGTTGATGCAGTTTTCACACTTGCAGCTCAACATGTGGCTGCATATGTTTATGGCTAAAAATGTGCTTTCTCCACAATAAAACTGGAATCAATAACCAATCAAGCCAGTATGTGCTTCTGTGGAACAGCTCAAAATAGGGTTTCTTTCTTTCTTTCTTAGCAACTGCTTGCAGTGAGCGCAACCTTTCATTTCTTCCACAGAGCTGAAAAGAGCTCTGTGATCACATCATTGCAGCACAAGGCAGTCACAAATATTCCACATCTTATAAAGCCGGAAAAGTACAGGGAACTGAAAGGCAGCAAACCACTCTATGTAATAGGAAAAAAAAACCAAACCTTGTATCCATAGAGCAGCTACAGAATTACTAAGATGAGCTCTGCAGAAGTAAGGCATGTGTAAATTAAGGCTGCTTGTGTAATATTTCTTCATTCCCCCACCTCCCTCTGTACATATGCACCCTGAAACAGCCTTTAATTTTGAGAACTGCATGCTATTTTTTACCATTGTACCCCTCTCTCTGTTCCCAGCAGTTGATTAATGAACAGCTATTCAATATCTTGTTTTCTTCCTCAGTGCATGATCTTATGCTTTGTCTTTACTACTCAAACCCTGATCTGGACTCAGAAGTCTCCAAGGATTATGTAGGGATGGATATTTTTATAGATGTTTATTGCTTTGACATATCTGGGTAGGTTTTCCAAAGGAGATGGAGAGGTTGGGTGTGCAACACAAGCTTGCTGACCCCAGTTCCCTGCTCCAGATTGTAATGGCATGAGCAGTCCTCAGCAAAAGGCAGCAGCAGTTTTCCCTGAGGACAACACAACTTATTTTTCTTGTGAGATGCGCATAAGATCAGCCCAAGGGATTCTCCTGGGAGGGTCTGACCCTGATGGGGTCAGGTAGAAATGCTGGATTTTAAATGTACCCTGTGGCTTGCTCCCTGCCATAGCTGAATGTGCCATCACACACATCCAGCTCCTGTTGGGTAAAGTGGTACTGGTGTGCTCATGGCTGTTCTCATCGGAAAACTGATTCACAGTCCTGCCCGCAGACACGGGTTGTAACACTGTCAGTAGAGGAGGCAGCAGGGTTTCAAAGAGAAGGAAAAATGTGCACTAAAATCTAAATATGTTTGACAGCACTGGCTATTCATAAAACTAACCAAAAAGAAATTGCTTTCATTTTACTCAAGAGAAAGAGACTGTTTATAACCAGTTCCCTTCATTAAACCTTTACTTTATAACATATGATTGTGTCAAACATCAACATTCAATAACATTACTTATGAAAAGGGAAAAAAACAAAACCAAACCAGTCAAGCTGATCGGGTGGGCCATCAAATAACCACTTGATGGATGAAAACGAGAAATGGAAATGCCATCTGCATTTCCAGCATTCCACAATTGATCAGCCCACTGGGAAATAACAAGGGAGGAGGATTCTTTATTCTCTCTGTGTCTGAAAATCTCTATTACACACCAAATTTTGCAGGAGATCAATACTCTTTTAACAATTCTGCCACAGGTGCCAGAGCTCATTAGTAGTATGTGAATAACTAAGGAGGTTGGAAATCCTATTTTACTTGTCTGTCTGAAGGATTTTGGCTTCTTATCAGCTTAGCTGAGGATTTCATGACCAGATTTTCCAGTCTATGTTGAGTTCTTACTCCAGTAAAATTTCCTTATCTAAAAGGTGAGTTTTGCCCCAGCTGACTCAGTTGGAGTCTCAGAGTCCTTTCTTCATCAGTTATTACCATTCCACACTGACTAAGTTGCACAGGGGAGCAAACCAATGTGTCCAGAGCTACCGGTGTCACTATTCTGACGTTAAGACCTGCTTATTCTGATGATCCAGAATTCAGTCTTATCTTTAAAAGTCCTCTCCCCACCCAAAAAAAAACAAAAACCAAAAAACCCCCAAAAAAACCTATTTTGTTGTGGTTATACAGATTTCTCCCTTCTGTCCTTTGTGAATGCAGATTTCACAAAAGTCATGTCATTCCAGCTTGCATCCTTGGTTCAGCTCTCAAGAAGAAATCTATTTCAGAAGCCAGTATGGTCCCAGAAGGACTATGAATAGGATTTCTCTCAAATCTGGTGTAAAAAAACATGATACTTCCCCCTTCACTACAGTGCTCATCTGCCCTTTAGCTCTGGTTTTGAAGGAGCTTTGACAGGAACGTGTAGGACATTCGGTTAAACTAGTGAGTCAATGCTAATTGGTCCACTTGCACAGCCAGGCTGCTTGCACAGGACCCTGCAGGATGCTGAGCTCACTGCAGTGCAACCCAAGCCAACAACAGACTGAGCCTTCCACAGAACGGTCCAGGTCCACAATTTGGTAATTTCATGACATGACGTTCATACTGAGCACCACGCAGTACCCTGCTGTCACCAGCTCAGCCAAGGGACTTACACAGGGCTGAAGTTGTGCCTGGGTTAATCTGTTTGAGAGTGGTGTTTAATTCAACTGCAGCATTCCCAAACACAACAGCTTGCAACAGAGGTGACAGGAGGATATTACTGCAATGTGCCATCATTTTGCAGTGGCTGGGAGCATTCCCTCTTGCGCATGACTGCCTATGCTGGTATTGGAGAAAGAGCCTTTCCCCATTACTGGTTTTTGGAGTCCTTATGTATTTACTGGAGTTTTGCACTTCATTCAAAATGTTTGCAATGTTTTCCTGTCCCTGTAAATAAATGGGCTTTCCAGACTCTTCCCTGGAAAACAGAGCACAGAGGCTCTTGAAGAATCTGGTGATAATTGCCCATCATTAATGTCTCCAGAAATTCACACTGGGCATGTGCATGCATTTCTGGTCTGTAAACATGCTTAATATGAATGCTGGGGTTGCGTGAGAAAGTGTTTTGATGAGAAAATCAGACTGATCTAGTTTCATAATTATTAGTAAAATGCATATAAAATAGAATAAATAAAATAAAATAAAAGGGTGGTGATTTAATAGGGAAACCTCTGATAAATTCATCCATACACATAAGAAGAACAATCCAAATCATGAATTTTAGACAGTAAACTATGCAAAACCTTCACTCAAACACATACATCTGCTTTACGGAAATGGGATGTTTTAATCCCAGAGAACAGCAGATAATCTGAAATTGTAACTACTTGGTGGTTTTCCTGCTCTGAATTGAAGGGGATGAGAAAGGGTAGATACTAAAGGGTAGATTTTCAAGGACATATTGGCATTATTTGTGACTTCGGAAATTTTAACCTAGGTGCATTTTAAAATCCTGGGATAGACTCTGCAAGTCGTGGGACTTAAACTCTTTTCAGAATCCAAATTTCAATTTCCTGATTTGATAAATTTAATGCCTATTTTTGTAATTTGGATGAGGAGTTTTCAAATGCTTCTGAAGGATTTAAGAGCAAAGTTCTAGGGGAAATCATGAGTCTGTGTTAACCTAAATATCTTACATTTTGAAAAGCTCCTGCCCTGCTAAACAGTTTCACATGCTGGGGGGTTTTGCCCACACCAGTGCAAATCTGCTCCTCTTGGACTTCAAAACCCTCAAGAGGATTTTATTTGATAATAGACTTTTCAAATATTCTGTATAAACCTGTCTAGAGACTTGAAGAAGTGTGCTTTTACAAGACCTCCTGTGATGGAGTGTTTTAGCACAAGTACTCCTGTGTCTGAGGCCGGGATTCATTTAATGTAATTTTAGCCATCTGAAAGTTAGGTCATCAGACTCAGCTAATCACCAGGGCTCCCTTGTCTAGCTTCACTGTTGAGAAATGGCACCTGTGGAGTTGTCTCATGTACTGCGGGCAGGGGATCAACCCTTTTGGTTAGTCCTACCCAACTCTTTTTCTCAGCTGACTGTAGGAACTGCCTAGCTGATTAACTTAACGGGATGCTTAGCTTTCGTGTGGCTAATGTTAAAGTGGATGGAGTTCATCCCTGGCATACTGTGCTATGTTATTTGTAAGGCATGCTGCAGCTTTGCATTACTGAGATCTCCAAATGTGTAGGAAGTTCCCAAAAGTGCCTGCCATATACAAAATATTAAGTCAGTGACCAGTGCCTGGATTTAACGTCCTCTCTGCAGAGGTGGTATCACCACCATCTTCTCAAGAACACTGTGCCTGTAGGTATCAGCTCATAAAGGTCTGTTTTGTTCACCATATGGTTTGGGAAGAAACTTTGGTCTGAACCAAAATCTGAAGCTCCACACAATGCCTGAAAAGAGGCAAAGCTCAGGTAACAAGTCTGGAACAAATTGCTCCATCAGTGAGTGTGCTTATTGGAACAACAAATGTGCATTTGAAAGTCTAAGAACAGGGAAGCTCTGCATTGACAGGTGGGTATTTGAGGGTCTGATACATTCATTCTGATTCATCCAGGAGTAAATTTGTCATTCTTGGGGCAGAACCAAACTGACTACAGGAGTTTATCATATGTTCACAGCTAATGCATAAGGTCAGGTTTTTTTTTCTATTTGGGCTATTTAAGCACCATCCAAAAAAAGGTAAAGATCATTTAGGGAAAGAGAAAACCAGTATAAAACCTGTATTTATATCTGTGCTGGTGCAGCACATTCGAATCTCTCAGAAAAATCTTCAGTTGCCAAACCTGTAAAGAAAGTTGCGTGACCTTCTGCTACATTTCCCATGTTTGTTGTCTTAATTAAACTTGTCATGAGTCATGTTTACAACACCCAACTTACCTACCGTGGCCATATAACAAACAAAGGCATTCAGCCCCTGATGTGCGTGTCCAAATTCACTGGGGATTACTGCTGCCATTTTCATCACTTCCTGTACATGGAAAACACAAAGGCCATATTTAGAAACAGATCACAAGTCAGGTTGTTTCCAAGAAGGCTGATGAAATCTGCTTTCTTATTTAGCTTAAACCTGTCTTCCCAAGCATTATCTTCCTGGAGACTTTCAGACCTGTTTCCATCCCTAAGCTGTTAACTCCCGCAGTATTAGGACAGAAAGAAAAAGCAAACCTTTCTTGGGGGCCGGAAAACAGATGTGAGAGCATAGCTGCCGTTATATAGCAGGGATCTTATGCACGTGAAACCCAATAGGGCTTTTTTTGCAGACTTAAATCTAGGAAAGAAAAAATAAATCAAGATATGCTTATTATCATAATAACATTAAGAGTTTGAAAGAGTCATTACCCCTCATGTAGAGCTTTAATTTGTGCATTTTACTAGCTTCAAACTTAAAACCATTAACACGATTAAAAGTGGACCAAAAAGCAATAATTTCTTTAACATTTGGTCAAAAGCCCATTTAGCTCCTTTTGAGTTAGCAAACATGCAGTCAACAGATGCTTCGAATTGTAAGGGCAACTACTTTTTAAGGATACACTTAACAGCAGTATGTGTGAGGAAAACAAGTGGGGCAAAGTGCAAAAAGAACACTCAAAAAATGACAGATATTATTAAGGAGTAAGAAGTGTCATTAGCCTGGGCATTGCTGTGACTAGTAAGGCCCTGGAGATGTTCTTTCAATGTACAAGACACAAAACCAGCTGCTGTCCTGAAGAACATTAGCCTCTGCATCAAGAAAAGAAGGAATAAAAAGTCTGAGAAGGCACAAGAATGGGATGTTAATTCTTATTGCTTTAATTTTTAAATCCTGTTTTTAACTGTCCCTTATTTTAATGGTTATTTTATTAGCATTCTTTTTCTCTTTTCCTTTTTTTTTTTTTTTTTAATTAATGTGTCTCAATCTTATTTTTAACTCGAGGTTCTGCCATTGTTCTGGAGGATGGTCTGGTGTTGGGAATGGGCAAGGGTGAGGGGCAGGCAAGGAGCACCCTCCCTTTGCAGCCACCCCTGGAGGACCCTGCTTTGGTTTTGCTCCACCAGCTGCCTCTTGCAGATGCATGCAAGCTGCAGGGCTCTGAGCCAGGCAGAGGATCCCCCCGGGCATCTCCAGCCCATGCCTGCAGCCAGCATAGGAAATGCTGGAGAGACCAGACCCTCCCTCATTTCCTTCAGGGGCCTGGCACCAGTCACCGGCAAATCCTCCCGCTTCCCAAGATCTTTATGTCAGTCTGCAGCTCCTGTTTTTGAACTGACGTTCCCTGGGCTTAATCCACTTAGCTTGTGACCACCTTCATCCACTTCCCGCAAGCACAACCCAAGGCTGCGAGATCCTCCCTGCTGCACTCACCATCCCTCCCCACCACCTCTTTGCTCCTCCTGGGAGCGTGCATTTATAAAGAGGTAGATTAGGAACATTACCAGGCAGGTCACAGGGTGTCAAGCTGCTCTTTCAGGGCTTAAAATCTAAGGCTCACTTGAGAGTGAGGACAGCCATTTGGATAACTGCTGTGTTGTACTTAAAATTTACTCCATTAACAGCACTGGTCCTTTGGGCTGGAGCATTTAGAGGCACCATTCCTGTAAACAAAGCAATCAGATGGTGTAGAAATTGTTTACTTTAATTTTCCTGTTTTCACATAGGGAAAAATAATTTAAGTGCAATAAATGAAATTTCATAGCTGGTGCAAATCCACCTTGCTCCACTGGTGCCAGTGAACACTGGCTGATTTATACCTGCTACAGACCCCAGCCCATAATCCCCTCTGAGCCAGCCAGCCCTGAGAGGAATTACTTCAGTGCCATCTGATCAGTGGGGAGAAATGAGGTGTCCACAGCACTGACATCCAGAAGGTCACCTCATGGGAAGCAGGACTGAACACCCACCAGCCCCTTGACGCCTTTGGGTCTGCTGTGGTGACAACCCAGTGCCTGAAACCAGGCACAAGACACTGGGTATGGTCAAAAGGAAGTCAAACCAAGCTCTGGCTGCAGACTGTGTTTGGGTTGGACCCATGTCTTGGAAGAAACGGGTTCTTGCAGCTTGTAAATCAGAGACAGCCACTCCCTTTTGGTGTGTTTCAGGGATCGGCATGAGGGCAAATCCCGAGTGCTTCATCATCCTGCTGAGCTCTAATCCCATCAGCATCTCCAGCCACTCCATCAATCGGATTTAAATGTGGTTGAAAGTCATAACACAAATGACTTGCCACTGGGGGTGAGCCCTGCGTGTGTAGACACTGCCATTCCTGCTCAGCCAAGTGCCTTGCTGTTTCAAGCCCCCAGGGCTTTCACCTTGGCAGGGTTTAGGGTTGGCAGTAGCTGCAGACAGAGCAGCCCATGCTCAGCATCACCACAGAAAGGCCGGGGCTGTGCCTTCAGTCCCCTCTCGCCTCTCCAGAGCCTCTGTGCTTTTAATGGATGAAGTAACTGTAGCATTTCTGTCAGAGCCTTTCACATTCATACCGAAAGTTAGCCAAAAATGTTCCAACAGAAAATATTTTCCATGAGAAAATGCTGCTTTAACACAATCTAAGCCTCCTGGTGGAAACCTGCCGGCTCTGCTGTATCCTGTGGTAGAAACCAGGTGGGTATGTATAAGGATACTGCCTTTGCACTTGGACCACTGCAATGAAAGTAAAGATCCATTCGAGGTCTCTCTCTTACCTTTTCTGCCTTTCTTCAACTATTAAAATATTTTTTTTAAACTTTCCCATTTTGGAAAGCTTTCTACTTCCTTCTGCTACCCTACAAAAAGTAAAACATATGTAGGAAGGGGATTTTGCTTCCAGCAGCTCATTTTGTGGTCCAGATGGGCACATCCTTTCCCTCTCAGTGAGGCAACAGGTCCATGACCACATACCAGCTTCACCAGCATGGCTCAAACAAGGACCGATGGGTTGGATTTGGTCCTGAATACAGCTCCAAGTGGCCAGCTGGCTTTGCCTGGCTAGTCCTTGGGAATGTATGCCTCATCATACCCAAACACACAAAATAGATCCCCAGGGCTGCCACATCTGCCTGATGCAGGATGTGCAGACAGTCAGTGTCACCTCTGTGCCTGACAAGATCTTGGAGCAGATTCTCCTGGAAGGCATGCTAAGGCACATGAAAATCAACAAGGTGCTGGGTGACAGCCAGCATGGCTTCACTAAGGGGAAATCCTGCCTGACCAATTTGGTGGGCTTCTATGATGGCACTGTAGAACTGATGGACAGGGGTAGAGCAGTTGATGTCATCTACCTGGACTTGTGCAAAGTGTTCAACCCTGTCCCACATGACATCCTTGTCTCTAAATTGGAGAGACATCAATTTGATGGATGGACCACTCAGTCGATAAAGAACTGGCTGGATGGCCACACGCAAAGAGTTGTGGTCAATGGCTCAATGTCCAGCTGGAGACCAGTAATGAGTGGTGTCCCTCAGGGATCGGTGTTGGGACCGGTCTTGTTCAACATCTTTGTCGCTGACATGGACAGTGGGATTGAGTGCGCCCTCAGCAAGTTTGCCGATGACACCAAGCTGTGTGGTTCGGTTGACACCCTGGAGGGAAGGAATGTCATCCAGAGGGAACTTGACACACTTGTGAGGTGGGCTGATGCCAACCTCATGAAGTTTAACCATGCTGAGTGCAAGGTCCTACACCCGGGTCGGAGCAATCCCAGGCACAGCTACAGGTTGGGCAGAGAAGAGATTCACAGCAGCCCTGTGGAGAAGGACTTGGGGGTGTTTGTTGATGAGAAAATGAACATGAGCCGGCTTCAGTGTGCGCTTGTAGCCCTGAAAGCCAACCGTATCCTGGGCTGCATCAAAACAAGCATGACCAGCAGGTCAGAGGAGGTGATCCTGCCCCTCTACTCTGCTCTTGTGAGACCTTACTTGCAGCATTGTGTGCAGTTCTGGTGTCCTCAACATAAAAAGGACATGGAACTGTTGGAACAAGTCCAGAGGAGGACCATGAGGATGATCAGGGACTGGAGCACCTCCTGTATGAAGACAGGCTGAGAAAGTTGTGGCTGTTCAGCCTGGAGAAGAGAAGGCTGCATGGAGACCTCGTAACAGCCTTCCAGTATCTGAAGGGGGCCTACAAGGAAGCTGAGGAAGGACTCTTCATTAGGGACTGCAGCGATAGGATAAGGGGTAATGGGTTAAAACTTAAACAGAGGAGGTTCAGGTTAGGTATAAGGAAGAAATTCTTTACTGTAAGGGTGGTGAGGCACTGGAACCGGTTGCCCAAAGAAGTGGAAAATGCTCCATCCCTCACAGTGTTCAAGGCCAGGCTGGACAGAGCCTTGGGTGATATGGTTTAGTGGAAGGTGTCCCTGCCCTGGCAAGGGGGGCTGGAACTTGATGATCTTAAGGTCCTTTCCAACCCTAACTATTCTATGATTTGACGATTCTATGCAAAAAGAAGGGCCAGACTCAAGTCCCATCATCCCAGAACACCAGCATAAACCCACCTACTTTAAGCTTTCCTGAGGGTCTGGAAGATCATCTGGGGTCAAAACTGATCTCCCACCTATGAATACTAAAGCTGAGACCACCCTCATTTTACCTGCTCCCACGTGAACACCATATGGAAGCCTGCCAGCCTTCAGAAGCTTGGAGGATCTCTGGAGCAAGATCCTATCTGTCTTGAAAAGTTATTTTGAAACATCATATTTTCTGTGAGTACTCAGTGGCTAAGCAGGAGCCAATCTCCACCATGATCACAGGGGATAGTCCTTGCTTTTGCACAGAAGCACATTAAAGGCAAGGTTAGGTGAGCCGAACCTTCAGCTCTTCATGACTCAGTGAGGTTACAGAGACCCTCGCTCTTTCTGTTTATAAAGGCACAGTGTCTTGGCAATAGGAAAGGAATAGCTGGCTTCATCTTTACATTTGCTGGGTCTGTCAGAACTAGCCCTCCTACCTTTCCACTGCACTTTTCCTCCAGAAATCAGCTTAAACTTCCCATTCATGTTTTTTGCTTTCATTTACTTCCCTGATAAACAATTGCTCACAAAAAACCTCAGGAAATACAAAGCTGGGAGGCTTCTCAGGATGCTATCTAAACCATAGCTTTTTCCAAAAATGCCCAGACTCTACCATTATCCACATGCACTCATCACCCCCTTACTATGATAGCAGTAGTCCAGTGCTTTGAGGAGTGGGCTGCCTACACAGTATGTATGGTGACACGCTGGCCGATGTGGGAAAATCAGACACATCCCTCTTTTCCTATTTTATTTATGGCAATATATACAATTGAAGAGTGTAGCTGAAATAAGAGTTTTCCATAACCCTGTGAACAAGCCTGGACTTCACTTGCAGGGAAATAGTTCTATATGAATATATTCCATAGTTTGATTCAAAAGTTATATTAAAGAGATGATCAAAGCGTATTACAGATTATGAATCATTCTATCCAAATTCCAGATGTTATATTCTCTATTATTCCTAATTTGTCTGAAGTTTCCCCATCCCTTCCCTTCCCCTCCCATTTAAGAGACTTTTCACTGTGTAAAGTACTCCTTTACAGTTCTTGCCTCATACATAGAGGAGGAGTCACCAAATGTATCAGTAGCAGCGCTGCGGCTGCCATAAGCTCCCTGGTTAAGGTCTGACACTAACCCCTGATGCAAAGCCACTCCAGTGTCCTGCTTATCAGGAAAATCAGCACAAATGTGTTTGATTTGTAACTTTACAAGGACTTTCACACTGAGATTTACGTTTCTTTTATTAGCAGACTTTAGAGGAGGGCTCCATTAACACATAACAAAGGAAGCAGTACCGAACTATTACCATAACAGCAATGTTTAAAAAAAACCCACTACTTAGAGGTTTATAAGGCTCCTTTGAAAGATTATTGCAGGAGCCACAAAATGGAAACAGGGGAGAGAGTTTCTCAGCTGCATCATGCTTTCAGCCCTTCACTGAGAGACATGCCTGCCTAAACACCTGTACCCTCTCTTAAGCAACCTCCTTGGCTTGGGGCCACCCAGGGGTTCCCCTGCACCAGGAGGATTCCCTGGCAAAATTTAAGACCCCATTGTACCTTTAGAGCAACTCAGGAGGGCCTTTAAGCAGTAAAACTGAAGGAATAATTTACCTGCTGAAACAACCACTTTCATCTCCCAACAGCTTCGTAATCAAACAAAACTCTGTTCAGCCTGGGTTTTATTTTCTGTTTTACTTCTCATGTTTTATTTTTCTAGGTATTTTGAATGAGGGGTACCCTGGTCCTGAAAATTCTCCAAGCAAAACATCACAGTGTTTCAACGCAAGATGTCTAAACTAAGTGCTGTGTCTCTTCTAACACCTTCATGTTTGCTTATTCGAGTCACATCTAGAACTGAATTTCCAAATCCTCCTGGTTGCCCCCAGGGATGGCTGTAAGGGTATTCCCCATCAGAAAAAGAGCTCACAGCTTCATTTATCTGATTCAAGGTCCACTCACTCCTAGACTCCCATACTGTAAAGATGTCATTAAAAGCTCTAAGTATGCGTTATTTCAAGACATTTCCTTATAAAGCAGTGACACTGTGTGTTAGCAGCTTTTATTCTCTGCAAATCCCTGTCTCAGCTGCAGAGGAAGGAAAGGC